CAGCAAACAGTTTTGGATAAAGGTTTTACAGAAATGAAGAAAAGATGATCAATGTTACCACCCCTGTCAGTAGTAAATGGTTTGTCTCAACCCTGTCACTGCTACATCTGCAGGACAGTTTGTTCTCTTGAAAAACAACACTGTGGGTCAGCACAGTGGCTAAATAGTTAGCACTTCCACCTGGTAGTACTAGGGTCGTTGGTTTGAATCTCAGCCATGGCACCATCTGCCTGGAATTTGCATGTTCTCCCTGTGCCTGCGTGGGTTTCCTCCAGTACACCAGTTTCCTCCCACACTCCAACATGCTGGTAGATTAATGGGTTCCTGTCTAAAAAAATTGGCCATAGTACACGTACAGTTGTGTTCAAAATAATAGCAGTCAGACATCACTAACCTGATCAATCACTGTTTTTGGTAGAAATGATATTTCTACATGGCAAATAAGTTACTAGCAGGTGTAGTAGAGCAATAGAAATCCAACAGACCCAACAGTCATGACATGCATGCTGCTGATTCTGTATACTTGAATCACTAATTGAAAGGGGCATGTTCAAAATAATAGCAGTGTGGAGTTCTATTAGTGAGGTCATTCATTCTTTGAGAAGCAGGTGGCAATTATTGCCCTTATTTAACCAATTCAATACCGGGCAATTTAACACCTTCCTGCCCAGGCCAGTTTTCAGGTTTCAGCGCTCTCACACTTGGAATGACAATTGCGCGGTCATACAACATTGTACCCAAACTAAAATGTTATAATTTTCTTCACACAACTAGAGCTTTCTTTTGGTGGTATTTAATCACTGCTGGGGTTTTTTATTTTTTGCTAAATTAACAAAAAAAGACCAAAAATTTTGAAAAAAACACACGTTTTTCTTTGTTTCTGTTATAAAAGTTTGCAAATAAATAATTGTTCTTCATAAATTTAGGCCAAGATGTATTCTACTACATGTCTTTGGTGAAAATAACACAAATTAGGATGTATTTTTTAGTTTGTAGGAAAGTTATAGAGTTCACAAACTATGGTATAGATCTGAATATTGATCAATCCTGAAGTACTGACGGCCAATCTAATTTCTTGAGGTCCAAGAATGTCAGAACAGTACAGATATCCCCCAAATGACCCCTTTTTGCAGAGTAGACAGTCCGACGTACTTCATAAGAGGCGTGGCGAGTTTTTTGAAGTTGTATTTTTTTGCCATTATTTTTCGGAAACATTTTTTTTTTTTTTTTTTTTACATATTGTCACCAGTGCAGTACAGCGTCTTCATATAACTGGCATGGCGGTGATCAGGGACACTGACTGGTGACAGTATGGAAAAAAAAATATTTTTTTTATTTTATTTTTAATTTTTTATTAAATTTTTTTTTTTCTTTTTCTTTTTTTTTTTTCATATTTCACTATGTCCAAAGTAGTACAATGTTACCATAGTAAACATTGTACTACTTTGGGGAAGTGATCAGTATTTTTTTTTACTTTTGTTTTTTTTTTACACAATTTGCTTATAGCAAAGAATTACTTTGCTATAAGCAAGCATTTACCTGAATGACATCGATTCATTCAGTGTTTTTTTTTTTTTTTGCTTAGCTGTGATTTGGCCACAGCTAATCACATGACATGCGCATGTGATTAGCTGTGACCATTCACAGCTAGACACTAGTATACAATGGATGGCATGAATGAAGCCATCCATTGTATACAACTGTCATGTGACCTGCTGTGATTGGTCACAGCAGGTCACATGGTACCGGCAACGGGGCCGATACTCAGATCTGTCATCGGCCGTGTCCGAGGTACGCTGCACGGCTCTGCAAGCGCGAAAAGTGCGCATGTGCTGGAGGACGCCATATGGCGTCCACCCGGAAAGGCTGATGACATTTGCCGGACGCCATTTGGCCATAGGGCGGGCAGCAAATGGTTAAGGAAGGAAGGCAGCAAATGTTGTACATGCTGGTTACAGTGCATTTCTCTCTGAAATTCTGAGGAAAATGGGTTGTTCCAGACATTGTTCAGAAAACAGTGTACCTTGATTAAAAAGTTGATTGGAGAGGGGGAAACATATAAAGAAGTGCAGAAAATGATAGGCTGCTCAGCTAAAATGATCGCAAATGCTTTAAAATGGCAACCAAAACCTGAAAGACGTGGAAGAAAGCGAAAAACTACCATTCAAATGGGTAGAAGAATAGCCAAAATGACAAGGACTCAGCCAACAATCAGCTCCAGGAAGATCAAAGAAGGTCTAAAGTTACCTGTGATTACTGTTACAATTAGAAGATGCCTATGTGAAGCAAAGCTATCTGCAAGAAGCCCCCCGCAAAGTCCCACTGTTGAAAAAAAAGACATGCTGAAGAGGTTACAATTTGCCAAAGAGCACATTGAGAGGTCATGCTGCCTTGTGCTGAAGAGGAAATGCCCTTTAAATGGGTGTTCCAACAAGACAACGACCCCAAACACACCAGTAAACGTGCAACATCTTGGTTCCAGACCAACAAGATTGATGTTATGGAGCGGCCAGCCCAATCCCCGGATCTTAATCCAATAGAAAACTTGTGGGGTGACATAAAAAATGCAGTTTCTGAGGCAAAACCAAGAAATAGAGAACTGTGGAATGTAGTCCAATCATCCTGGGCTGGAATACCTGTTCACAGGTGCCAGAAGTTGGTTGACTCCATGCAACACAGATGTACAGCAGTTCTCAGAAACAGTGGTTAAACAACTAAATATTAATTAAGTGATTCAAAGGAAAGCAAAATCTCCAAAATTTTTCAGTTTATATAGTGAATGTTTGAGTTTGTAAAGAAGAATACAAACACTGCTATTTTTTTGAACAGTCTAATATTCACTTTTCTTCAATTTTTTTAGAGGAACAACACAAATTTGATATATTTTTCTTCATGTTTTGATTTGGAATAGAATGTGTAGTGTTCCCAATGCATTGGTGTGTATGGAAATAAAAGCTATTAGAAGGATTTTGAGCTTTATTCACTTTTTTTCAACACACTGCTATTATTTTGAACACAACTATACGTATGTACAGTCAGGTCCATAAATATTGGGACATCGGCACAATTCTAAAAGTTTTGGCTCTATACACCACCACAATAGATTTGAAATGAAACAAACAAGATGATGTGCTTTAACTGCAGACTGTCAGCTTTAATTTGAGGGTATTTACATCCAAATCAGGTGAACGGTGTAGGAATTACAACAGTTTGCATATGTTAAGGGACCAAAAGTAATGGGGCAATTGGCTTCTCAGCTGTTCCATGGCCAGCTGTGTGTTATTCCCTCATTATCCCAATTACAATGAGCAGATAAAAGGTCCAGAGTTCATTTCAAGTGTGCTATTTGCATTTGGAATCTGTTGCTGTCAACTCTCAAGATGAGATCCAAAGAGCTGTCACTATCAGTGAAGCAAGCCATCATTAGGCTGAAAAAACAAACCCATCAGAGAGATAGCAAAAACATTAGGCGTGGCCAAAACAACTGTTTGGAACATTCTTAAAAAGAAGGAACGCACGGTGAGCTCAGCAACACCAAAAGACCCAGAAGACCATGGAAAACAACTGTGGTGGATGACCGAAGAATTCTTTCCCTGGTGAAGAAAACACCCTTCACAACAGTTGGCCAGATCAAGAACACTCTCCAGGAGGTAGGTGTCTGTGTGTCAAAGTCAACAATCAAGAGAAGACTTCACCAGAGTGAATACAGAGGGTTCACCACAAGATGTAAACCATTGGTGAGCCTCAAAAACAGGAAGGCCAGATTAGAGTTTGCCAAACGACATCTAAAAAAGCCTTCATAGTTCTGGAACAACATCCTATGGACAGATGAGACCAAGATCAACTTGTACCAGAGTGATGGGAAGAGAAGAGTATGGAGAAGGAAAGGAACTGCTCATGATCCTAAGCATACCACCTCATCAGTGAAGCATTATGTAGTGTCATGGCGTGGGCATGTATGGCTGCTAATGAAACTGGTTCTCTTGAAGCATACTGCAAAAGCAACCAAAGAGTTTTTTAAGGGAAAGAAGTGGAATGTTATGCAATGGCCAAGTCAATCACCTGACCTGAATCCAATTGAGCATGCATTTCACTTGCTGAAGACAAAACTGAAGGGAAAATGCCCCAAGAACAAGTAGGAACTGAAGACAGTTGCAGTAGAGGCCTGGCAGAGCATCACCAGGGATGAAACCCAACCTCTGGTGATGTCTATGCATTCCAGACTTCAGGCTGTAATTGACTGCAAAGGATGTGCAACCAAGTATTAAAAAGTGAAACTTTGATTTATGATTATTATTCTGTCCCATTACTTTTGGTCCCTTAACAAGTGGGAGGCACATATGCAAACCGTTGTAATTCTACACCGTTCACCTGATTTGGATGTAAATACCCTCAAATTAAAGAGCTGACAGTCTGCAGTTAAAGCACATTTTGTTTGTTTCATTTCAAATCCATTGTGGTGGTGTATAGAGCCAAAAATGTTAGAATTGTGTCGATGTCCCAATAGTTATGGACCTGACTGTATGTATGTATGAATGTGAGTTAGGGACCTTAGATTGTATACTCCTTGAGGATTAGGGACTGAAGTGAATGTAATATATATATATATATATATATATATATATATAAAGCGCTGAATAAATTGACAGCACTATATAAGTACATAAATAATAAGTAATAAGTAATAAATAAACAACAACAGACTTATTGGCCACATCACTAGGTGAAACTAAAGGAAAGCAAGCCTAAAAAAAAAACAAAATGAATGCAGCTATCCCATCTGACAGTTGGTAAGCTGCAATATGTTTGCTTTTGGGTTCAATATTGCTTTAATTGGTTCTGATTCAGTCATTTTACAACAGCTCCTCATTTTAAACACAGCGTCGTAGTTTATCAATTCTTTTTGACTATGATAGGTATTTTTCTGCAGCTAAGTGAAGAAATCTTACAGGCAGTAGGCACTAAAAGTCACACTCTTTTCTCTTTCTATTCCCCTTTAGGTTATGGAACATTTAAGCAACATTACAGGAATCACAGTGAAGTCAATCTTTGAAATGTGCTCTGCAATATTAAACCATTCCACTGGATTCACAGGATTGATAAACCACTGAGACATGTCAATACTTATTTTGTGTCCGGAAGAATGTGATGACATTTTTCAGCATTACTGTCAAATATGTGTGCATGCCAGTTTGCAGCTGATTGCTTTGAACCTTGCTTCCTTTAGATGATGATAAATAAAAAAGTAAGAGGAATGCAGTATAATAAAGTCATATGTGTTTTTGTTCTAACAATTCTGACAATGTTATGATTTGGATTCTGCTGCCATCTAACTCCAGGCTAATTTGAATTTAGTATTTGGCACCAGCCAAAGCAGTCCCAATTGCAGTACCTTCAATCTGGAGGTAAGAAAAAAACTTTTTTTTTTTCACACAATCTTGTCAATTTATAAGATATTTCTAACACACAGCATGTACACATGAAGAATTGTGCCCCAAAATACATTCTGCTACTCCTTCTAAGTATGGTGATACCACATGTGTTAGACTTTTCCACAGCCTGGCCACATACAGACACCCAACATTCCCGTACAACCTTCACGCATTTTAGGAGCATAAAGGGGGCAAAAAATACACATCTAATTTCCTGACTACCTATCACAGTTTTGAAGGCCCTGGAACACAAGGATGATGCAAACACCCAGAGAATGACTTCCATTTTGGAAAACAAACATCCCAAGGTATATTCTATCAGGCATAATGAGTCTTTTGAACATTTCATTTTTCTTTCCACATTTTTCTAAAAACTTTTGGAAAAAAAAAAAATTTTTTTTTCACACAAACTTGTCAATTTATTAGATATTTCTAACACACAGCATGTACACACCAAGAATTTTGCCCCCCCAAAAATTCTGCTACTCCTTCTGAGTATGGCAATACCACATGTGTGAGACTTTTCCACAGCTGGCCACATACAGACACCAAACATTCAAGTAGAACCTTCACGCATTTCAGGAGCATAAAAAGGGCAAAACATACACATCTAATTTCCTGACTACCTATCACAGCTTTGAAGACCCTGGAGTACCAGGACGATAGAAACACCCACAGAATGACCCCCATTTTGCAAAGCAAACATCCCAAGGTATATTCTATCATGCATAATGTGTCTTTTGAGCATGTCTTTTTTTTTCCAAAGGTTTTTAGAAAATGTGGAAAGAAAAAATGAAAAAAAAAAAATTTTTCCCACCAGCTTGTCAATTTATAAGATATTTCAAACACCGCATGTACACACCAATAATTGTGCCCCAAAAAACATTCTGCTATTCCTTCTGAGAATGGTGATATCACATGTGAGACTTTTCTACAGCCTGGCCATATTCAGACACCCAACATCCAAGTAGAACCTTCACGCATTTTAGGAGCATAAAAGGGGCTAAAACTACACATCTAATTTCCTGACTACCTATCACAGTTTTGAAGGCCCTTGAGCACAAGGACGATGGAAACACCCACAAAATGACCATTTTGGAAAGCAAACATCCCAAGATATATTCTATCAGGTATAATGAGTCTTTTGAACATGTTTTTTTTTTCCAAAAGTTTTTAGAAAATGTGGAAATTAAAATGAAAACATTTTATTTTTTTATACACAAAATTTTTGTAACACACAGCATGTACACATCAAGAATTTTGCCCCAAAAATCATACTGCTACTCCTTCTGAGTATGGCGTTACTACATGTGTGAGACTTTTCCAAAGCCTGGCCACATAAAGACACCCAACATTCAAGTAGAACCTTCACGCATTTTAGGAGCATAAAGAGGGCAAAAAATACAAATCTAATTTCCTGACTACCTATCACAGTTTTTGAAGGCCCTGGAGCACAAGGACGGTGGAAACACCCACAGAATGACCCCCATTTTGGAAACCAAACATCCCAAGGTATATTCTATCAGGCATAATGAGTCTTTTGAACATGTCTTTTTTCCTAAAATGTTTTAGAAAATGAAGAAAGAAAAATGAAAACATTTTTTTCCACACAAACTTGTCAATTTATAAGATATTTCTAACACATAGCATGTACACACCAAGAATTTTGCCCCAAAAAAACATTCTGCTACTCCTTCTAAGTATGGTGATACCACATGTGTTAGACTTTTCCACAGCCTGGCCACATACAGACACCCAACATTCCCGTACAACCTTCACGCATTTTAGGAGCATAAAGGGGGCAAAAAATACACGCCATAATTTCCTGACTACCTATCACAGTTTTGAAGGCCCTGGAGCATCAGAACGATGGAAACACCCACAGAATGACCCCCATTTTGGAAAGCACACATCCCAAGGTATATTCTATCAGGCATAATGAGTCTTTTGAACATGTTTTTTTTTTTCCAAAAGTTTTTAGAAAATGTGGAAAGAAAAATGAAAACATTTTGTTTTTTATACAAACTTGTCAAATTATAAAGATATTTCTAAACACACAGCATGTACACATCAAGAATTTTGCCCCTGTGGTGGTTTATGTAAGGATTTATTCTACTTATAAAGGGCGGTGTCCCTTTCCCTTAGATGAAATATTACAGTGCCTCCAGCCGTTAAAATACGGCAAATATTTAGTAAACCAATAATTTGGACACCTTGATAATTTGATCACCACTTATTATTAGACCTTGAATTCTTTTAGCCAGTATGATTTCGTACCATACACACAAAATTTGCCTTATAATAGATAAATATAAAAATGTATTTATGTACAAAAATTATATATATATTAACACAAAACGCAAAAGACTGGTGATGAACGAATACTGATACACACGGTCAAAGATATACTTATACCAATATCATACACGATACAATGTTTCTAAATAATGAAAATCAATATAACAAATTTTTTAGATGATAATGATTAAAAATTAAATTTATTAATAACTAATAATTTTAGAGTATATTTCAGAGGTTATTTTCTCTCATTACGTGGCCATAGCAATGGAAGAAGATATTCCCTGATAAATTATACTCTAATTATTAATATTTAATAATTTATGAATTATGACAAATTTGTAATATGACACCAACAATATCTAACAGTGATACGGGATCTCTCTATATATATATAACCACCCAATACAGTTGTTATTACACTAAGGTAATTCTTGTTACTCTATACAACAGAGAAGATATGCAATGCAAAATTAAATGGACAGTCTCACCACACCCGGAATTCAGACTATGAAACTTTCCAGTGGATCCAGCTGGCAATGGTATGCCTTCATGGATGACCACAGGGGGAAGTGAGATATAGTTCAATAGTGTAGGAGAATGTAGGAAGTTAGAGATTCAGAGGTTTAGAAATTTAGTAAAGTTTTGGAAGTTTGAAAAGATGGAAGAGTTGATAGACAGCAGAGATGGATTTCAGATGTCTTCAGGTTTCTTCAGTCAGTTTTCAGTCAGGTTCTTCAGTTAGTTGTTCTTTTTTTCAATGAGGTTCTTTTTCAATGAGTTTTTTCTTAGTGAGTTTTTTTTTCTAAATGAGGTGCATGGGTTTTTATACCATCTAACTATTGTTTCTAAGGGACCCTCCCACCAGGCTTTTCGATTGGCTGGCTGAGAAATGTATGTACATAAGCTATTTCTCACCTATCCGCCAGATGGCAGTCATGTACCATAGAACAATTTGAGTATTGATGATGACTCACACCTCGGGTGGAACTCAAGGTGATTTCAGGTATTAACTATATGTCTTATCCAATATATATAGTTGATCATACCTATAATGTTCTAGATAAGGACTATGGAAGATATATGTATATTCAGTTATTCATTTCCCTGAGATACAAACTTGTGGAAAGCATTTTGTTTTCTAATACAACATACAACTGATGCTAATTCACAATATATCTTACTTT